AGAGGGGAAAAAGTCTTCTGGTATTGCAACCACAGGACCCTACTGCTTGGCGTATAAGTCACAGATACCAGACAATTGTTAGTCATGTTCATTTCTTTTATAGCTCGAGACGTTTCCCTCATGGAATAAGTGACCTAGCTTTTCAAAATGACCTCTGAGCGTAGCCACACGTAGCCATCTAGTCGGCATCACATACGCAGCAACTCCAGTTTCCATTTCAGACATTCCAAAACACTGAAAATCAAGCCAGGATGGCCAATTTCCCTGATTTAGCGTCCAACACTTGCTAAAATTTCCAGGAAACTGATATTTATACAAACTGTGCCAAAGCTATTCTGTACAAAGTATTTTCAAGTGCGCTTTGGAAAGAACTGTGAGTTGAAGCAACAAAGAATAAAAACCATTCCAAATCTGTAACCCAATAATGCATCAAAAATACATGCTAATTAATTGTATTAAAGACAAACTTTCCTTCTGTGTTTCTGTTTATCAGTAATCTTATTTTAAATATTTTAAAAAAGTTTAGAGACAATTTTGATTGTAAGAAAACATCTGGGTAGCTGCAAATATGGCTGGATATTAGAAGAGTAAATTCTAAACATTTTTCAGGATATGCAGGTGGTTATGGATATCTGATGCAAAGAAATTAATTATAAATAAAACCAAGATAAATCAGAAAGCCAGTTTCAAAGATATGATGGAAAATGACTGGCTGCAATAAAAGACCATCTCGTGTCCCACCAGATGGAGCTACGGGCTAGAAATCTGGTCAAATATTTCACTAATCCCATGGCGCAGGAAAACCATTTACAGAAGTCAAGTTCGTTTGCCTCTTTCCTAACGCACACGCAAAACCCGAGCCATGGTCCCGAGGCATTTATGCCTCACAGCAGTAGCTATGTAAAGCCCAGGCATAAAGATGTGCTATGCTGGCTGTCATTGCAAGGACATCATCGGGAAGCCCAAAGTAGCTCATTAGAAACCAAGCAAAAAAATTAATGGTTTTGCCTGTTAAGAGACCACAACAACAAACAACAGGAACAAAGAGAATCAACCAGCTCTGTAAATTATGCAACCGCCTGTTTTGAAACAAAAAAGCAGATGAAAAATAACTTCTGTTTTAAACACAGTTTCCTGGCTTTGGGGCTTTAGCTTCAGTTTTGCTAGTTGGGTTAGGTGCAGTAGCAGAGAAGGTAAGTGATTTAATTCACTTCTGCCAAGAGCTATGTATGTCATCACATTATGCACTACACAGAGCATGGATGGTCTGCAGAATAGACTACTACTTCAACAGGGAGCCGAAACATTAACCAACATCAGTGAGACGAACCTGCAGTGCACACAGCACACACACTACAAAGCATCTCTGGAACATCACGCTACTTTGCACCTTTCATGTGAGAAAGTATTGCAGAGCTTCAGCGCTTGGCACCGTGGTATCTCGACAGATTTTCAGACACGTGTGACTTACCACAGTGATGAAACAAGTAAATCGGTAATGAGATGTTCAATCACGTCAAGTGTCAATACGCTGTATGGCTGTGTACATTTACAGTGACTAAGGGCAGGCGCTGGTGCTCGGGGATACAGAAGCTCCCCAAGTTGGGATAAGCTGGCTGAAACAGAACTGACATACAGCTGGAAGGAGGAGCAGCACCATCAGGGATCCAGCTCTAGAAGATTTCTTGCTGTAATTGTGTGGAATACAGCCCTTTCTTTAAAAATCATAACCTGCCAGCTACCCATTTGAAGAGTTTTACTAAGAAGCAGTTTCCAAAAGAAGTGCATGGTTAGGAGGAATAACAGTCAAAAAAACTCATCTATAGCCCTTGGATTTATTCTCTGAGACACTTATTTCAACAGAGGAAAGGAAAGGCTGCCTAGCCTATTGTTTACCCAATGAGTAATTACTCTGTAATTAAACTTAGCTGATTGTTCTCCTTCACGGTAAGACAATCCCATTCACTACCCAAGCTTCAAGGGCATCCATAAATATACGTATAAAGATTAGTCTCTATGTTAGAGGAATGCCCAATATCCTAGTCAAAATCAGGTCCTATCATACACACACTAGCACTCAAGACTGTGAATAGAACAGCCCGTTTGAAAGAGCTTAAGGCCAGACCCACAGCGGTTACAAACATCCCAGCATCTGAACTAGAATGGTACAGGACCTGCAATCCACAATATGACTACTTCTATAGCGGGCAAACAGACTTCAGGCATTGGTGAAGTTGTAATTAAAACAATAAGGACAATGTATTAACATCTGGAAGACAGGCAATCTGCAATAGTCAATACGACAAATTCCAGCCAGCCACGCTAAGAAAAGCAGATGCACAAGACCAGAAATACAAGCACATACTGAAAACTAAGTGTTTTGGTTCATGACGATAAAAAGGAGACCATCAGGACATCCTTTCAGGCAGATGTGCTGTTCAAACAAACCACACTCCACAAGGGGAAGTAAAATGAATCACTCGCAAGAAGAAGTACTGTTGAATTCTTTTAATAACACTAGGAAAATATCATAGTATTAAAATCCTGCACGGGATCCTGAACAGGTTATTTTGGTTGGGATTTCTTTGTATTTATAAACCAAACTTTTTTTCCCAATTGTGTTTTCTTTTAAACCAACTACTCCTTTACAATGGTATTTCCAGTTAAAACATGGCTAACCTATAAATACCTGAATACCACAACACACATTGTGTGCGTGGGTTTTGTTTAAATCTTAGCAGAAATAAAGGTAAGTCTATTCAACACAGGGAAGCAAACGTCGATTTGTTAAGCGGGGAATGTAATAGCCAGTAAAGAATACATTGCATACATAATACAGAAGGAAAAAATTATCGTCTGGAGTATGTGAAATTACACTGATTTTGCACCTTAAACCTATTAGAAGTTACTCTGTTGGCCAATACTAATCCACTGAAAAAGCAGAATGTTGGTCAGAAGTCTAACGTTTCCTGTACCAGCACAAGAGAGAATATAAGCAGTCCAATGCTGTTAAAAGAAAACATGAAATCCAGCTCATGTTTCTGGTTAGGGATCAATTTCTTCAGGAACTACTGTTAACATAACATCTTCGTTGCCCCTGCGTACAACCATGTTCAACGTACTGTCCTTTTTAATAATGTCACTGACATCACTGGCTGAACTTATTGACTGTCCATTGATGCTTATAATCACATCGTTGTCCTTCAGGCCACCACTGAAAATACAAAACAGCAATGTATTATTATAATTGCCATTTTATTGTCTTTACAATATCCTTTAAAAAAAAAAAAAGATTGCTGGATTTTTCCTATTTCTCACCCAAGGGCAGTTGCACAGAGACACAGCGGGCATACAAAAAGCAATCAGAATTTATGAAGCGGTGAAGATTACAGAAACCTCAGAAATCGGATGGAGGTACAAGTGTGATGAATCCCATATTTCACTGTCTTCAAAGGAATTCACTATTGCAAACAGTGCAATAATTCTGCAATAAGGATCCTAGATGATGATTCGGTAAAAGAGATAGAGGCATATTTTTCTTTTAAAATAACTCTGACAAGGCACTCATTTTAGAGGGGAAATTTTCCAAGATTTTATTCATGTATACACAGCAAAGCAATCTGAGTGGCACTCTGTGTTAACACATGAGGAATTTCAGTCCCGGATCCATGCTGTTCTCCATACATAGCTTACGGGCAGCCACCTCACTGTACCTTCATGTTTTAAACCTGAGCAGAATAACACAGGCAGCGATCTAGCCCAGTCACCAAAACCGCATGTGTGCCCTTCCCTTCACCCGCCTGCCTGGAGCCCCAGAATCCCTTCTCCTAACTTCAGCACCGTATACGAACCAAAAACAAAACCCTCCCAACTCAAAGCAAGACGGGGCAGAACGGGAGCCGGCACCTCAAGGCTCCCCTGCCCGGGGCCGCGGGTCTCTTCGAGCTGGTCGAGACTGCTGCCAGGACCAAGAAATGGGGTGGTGAGGGATACCATCGACTACAACGTCTTTCCTGGTCTTACACAATGATCTGGCTCCAAGTTATGGAAATATTAACCAAGTAACCAGATCAGACATGATTCAGCCCTTCAGCATAATCCTTCTTCACAAAACCACAGAGCAGTCATCGGTCTCTTCCGCCCGCAGAAAACGCCTTACATGAGTGTCTCCTGCAAGCAGGATGCCTTGGCCAACGTCTGCAAAAAACCTGGTTGCCTACCGAAGGCACGGCTTAAGGTATTTTCATGGGAGAAACCATTCCAGATGATGTCGGTCTCTCATGCAGCCTCTCCACTCGACTCGTACCCAGGACAGGTTGGGGCAGAGCTGTTGTGAGTCCCTACCAGCACGTCTACACAACGTGTGTTGGAGAGGAAATCAGCAAGAATGGGGAAACCCATTGGCAAGGGGACGAGGACTGGGGGAGATAGAGCAAACATGGGCTGCATTTTAATTGCCAAGCCAGCCTTCAGATGAAGCATCCTGATTTGAGTTTGCCTTCAAGTTATGAGGCTACATTGCCTCGCATTTCTTCTACCTCTCTAATGTTCTTCTCCCACTCCCTGCTAACTATTATCTGTACTCCTATAATGATTTTTCTGCACCTTCAGATTGGACCTGCATGTCAAGGCAGTAAGTTCAGTCCCACACTGGAGCAGCCACATTATTCCTACGCTAACTGCAGTTTAATTTCACATTACAGACATACACCAGTATTCTGCGTATGAACAGCGCTGCCAACCAGAATTATCTATAAAATGCAGCAATAATTTAGAGAGCATGCTAGAGAGCTAACGCTGTATGACTTACAGCGGCATCCAAACTGCAACAAAAGGACATCCATCTTCCAACCATCCTTGCAGTCTTCCTAAGAGATAACATGCGCCTGCTCCAAGCAGCTTTCTGCCTACATGCCTTTGGTGCTACATAGGCCTCTGTTGCCACAAAGATTTACTCTTCTCTTAAATGATCTCTAGTTTCAAAAAATGAACAGTTTCCCATTTCCTACCCTGGATTACTGAGCAGTTTCATATCAAGCAAACTCTGAAAGGAAAGTGTCTCCAGCAAGAGCCAGTCAGACCAGCACTGGTGACCGCAGACCAGATGCCGTACTTCAGCCAGGCATCTCGTGAAGCGTGGTACCAACCAGCTGGTAATCTTCTGAGCAAATACTGAATAACAGGAAGAAAAGGATGGATCCATTGTCCAAAACCAAAAGCTCTTCCCAGTAACATGACTCCTGACAAAGCTCTCACATGGAAGAGTATCTCCTGCCAGGAGAGGATTTCACTCCCAATGGAGGTGAAGCCAGGAGAGCTGGTGGGTTTGCCCAACACTGAGGTGCTTGGGCCGAGACGGACACGTCTTCACAAGGTGGATGCAAAGCTTCTCTCTCGCTTTCCTACAGGAGGGACCAGCAGGGCCATGGGGAGCACGCACAAGCAAACGTCTTTATTCAGCACTGACATCGGTACAACAGATGTCTTGGAAGCAATCGCTAAGAAAAATGAAAATGGAGTTTTCACGCCCACTGAATCTTTGCCCTTTCAGCTGGGAATGCTGACAGGGCTTTGCTGCAATACACTGATACATTCGCAATATTGCCCATCAGGGACCAGACTAAAACCACAAACCAACTTCCAGCAGACAACCTAATAGCTATCAGATGGTCGTAATTTTGTTAATTTAGCATAATCAAGATAGCCAGTTAAGCAGAGAACATTCTCTATCGTTACCCGTTAAGTCAGTGGCAGCGGTTTTGAGAAAAAAGTACTTCAACTTACGCTTCAGCTGGTGTTTCTGGAATTACTTCAATAACGTAGGCCCCAGAGACAACATCAGGAAAGTCTTTATGGTGCTCCTTCAGCTCTCTAGCTTTGCTGGAAAATGAAGAAACATCAACAAAAATATTTTGACGAGATAGGGAAAAAAAAAATCATGCATTTTTACTTACTTAAGTCACTTAACATTCTCTAGCTGAGGTATTTTACACATGCTGATGTGACACTTCACAATTTGTTTTAACTCTTACAAGTATTTCAAGAATTATTACACTTTTTGCATGCATACAGCTTTTTAATGCCTGTTTCCAGTAAAGGCAATCATTTCAATAGATACAGAGGATCAGAGTTAAAATGTTTCAAAACTTGGTCATTACTTTAGAACCAGCAGATCCCGAACACCCAAAAAAATACCCCTTGAGGTTTCAATGCTTTGTTATACCTGTGATCCTGCACATAGGAAAACTTCTGGTTATTTCTACAGGACACAGTATCACCTGGTCAGGAGTCTCTTCTGGTTTGAGTATGAATAAGCAAGTCCACACAAAAGCTTCATTTTACATTAAGTGAACTGTTTAATGAAAATAATTTTATAGAAATGGAAATATGCACATAGCTGCTGTAATTCTTGAAAACACACTGTCCTGTTTTCTCCTTGATCCACATGACAGCACAGCACAGACGGTAACAACACTAACAGAACCCCAAATTAACAATCGCTAGCTATTCTCTTCTGAAGCATTGAGGAAAAGAAAATGCCAGGGAGTTGTTTAAAAAACTCGCTCATACAAGAGTCTACAGGAGAGTTCAACCACGTAGCAGATGCAGAGAAAAAGGCAGCAAACATTAGCTGCGAGTTGCCACTAGCATCTACAGAGGCACACGGTGCTGGTTCAAACCTCCCGGTTGTTTCTGCAGATCATGAGCTTGATCCAAATGCACGCAGTGACCACACTTGGAAAAGTGAGGAACCGCCACTTTTACTTACCTAGGAGTTAGCGACATCATTCGTATGCCGATGTATTTCTTTTTGGTTATAGCTTTTCCTACAAAAACGAAAACAGGTCTTGATCAATTGCTCTTACCAAAAGAGCCTCAAAGGCTGTTGACTTTCTGGTTTATTACTATTTTCATGTTTTTCTCTTTCAAAGTGAAGTACAGTACCTTTAGCTTGTCTGTCATGGGATTCCGTTAGGAACTTTTTTATTTTATCCGATGGGATAGCAAACGAGATCCCTGCTGTAACTTTTAATGTGTTGATTCCAATGACTTCACCATCCTAGAGAAATAAGAAGTCGTTATTAGCAAATATGAAACGTCTCAAAGAGAAATGGACGTTTATTTCCAAGCAATTACAAAGACAAATTCACACAACACATTCTGTAGCTGGTTTTCAATTTTCTGAATGGTCTCTTTAAGTCTAATTTTTTGAGTCTATTGATAAAAAAACTACTCTACAGATCTGGAAAACTGATGTGGATATTCACCTTGCCACTAGCAGAAGAGAGATCAGAATTAGGCAGCTCTCCTGCTTGCAGCAGATGAGGAGAATATTCTACAACCAATTTGGGTCTGTTTATTTCAGCAGGCACTTCATCAAGCATGGCGCCGACCGGTTCTGAGCAAATATTGCATAATAATATAAAAGAAAAATGACAGTTCACCAAAATCGAAAGCTTTTCCCGGTAACGTGACTCCAAGAGAGAATTTCGGATAAAACATCTCTGCGGTCACCTGACGATTCAAACACTTCAGGCATCTCACCAGCTTCCTTCCCTGATCTATCCCAGATAAAAACTATCTAACTACAATTTTTTAAATGGAGGTTACTGGTGCTAAAATTGGACCGCGAGTCGGGTGAAAAAAAATTGCCAAATCTCCGAAGCAGAAACTCTGACTAGCTCTTTCTTCCAATTTGTGCCATCTCTCACTGAGGACCACTGCCTCTCCTCCAATCGACCCCGCGTGCCCCCATCTGGGCTCTCACACAGCAGCTGGGTTTTGCAACCCGCTTCAGTTGTTCTCTCTTGGGCTTATCCACAGCTGCTGCAAGGTCAGCTCTGACTACATTCTATAATATCAGCAAAGAAACCTTAATATCCTGATAAATACGTGAGTTTTTGAGCCCCCTCAGTATGATTCAAAATAAAATGGCAGATATGCTTTTGAACCATTAAGCTGAGTTTCAGTATGCAAAAAAAACCCAACGTTGCTGGCTGCATGGTATACAGCGAGGGCAAACGTCTCAACTTTAAAATGTGCTTTTTACTTTTTGCAAGGCATGGGCAAAAAAAAATTGGGCATTACACTTGCTCAAAACTGTGAAAACCGTAAACACCTTAAATATTGAAATCCAAGCATACCTTGTGACTTGCCAACATAAACACAGACAAGTGATTAGTAAGAACCATGTGAATTTTGTGTAGTCAGCCAGATATAGAAGCTGTGAATCACATTTCTGCTGTGAGGTTTTGTTTGTTGGTTGGTTTGGGTGGGGCTTTTTGTTTTGTTTTTAAACTAAAAGGTAATAAGCTTGACACTAAGCAAATGTAAAGAAACTCTTACCAGATTTACTAGGGGTCCTCCGGAGTTTCCATACTGAAAATAAACATGTGGCAAAAACATCTTTTAGTATCTACCTCTTAATTCATGGCAAGCAAAACATAAAAGAAATTTTTGAAATATTTCTGTAGTAATTTTTTCATTGCCTATTCAATATGTGCAATAGAACAGTCTTAATATCCAAACCCATTATCTCCACCTTACATCACTCCTTTCAGCTGCACTTTGCAAATGCTTAGTCCTTCTTCTCTTGCCAACGTAAGTTAAGAAAGCCATGTGGGGATTTTTTTGGTTTTAATAGTACCACATTATCAACTTAGAAGATTTTAGGACAGCTCTGGGAGCTGTTAATGAAAATTTCTTACAAGGCCACAATAGAAGTACAAAAACTATTGTTTTGCCTTAATGCAGAAACAAACCTGAACTAAGCTTGGCTTCTTTTTTAGAAAACATTGTGGATTTCGAAAAGATAGTTATTTGCCAGAGAATATTGCCTCCTCCCTGGTAATTTGCAAGAATTTTGAAGTGAAGGCAGATATTGTACTTGGTGTGGTTCCTTGGGGGATTTTTAAATAACAATCAAGTGCTGCTGCAGCCCAGATGTCCTTATTTACATGGATAAAATAGAAGCCAACTATGCTTGCTGTTCTTAACTGTATCACTGGTGAAATTTTCAAAGCAACTATTCAAGAAATCTAAGAGCTGAAGGGGACGAGGCTCAGAGGTGGACGTACGTTGATGATGGCATCGGTCTGAATGTAGTCCATATCGGAGTTGCGGAGCCCCAGCTCCTTCCCTCCACGTTGAGTGGTACTAACGATCCCTGTAGTCACTGTGTTTTGAAGGGAAAATGGACTTCCAATCGCAACCACAAACTCTCCTGGCCTCAAGTCTGCAGACTGACCAAGCAGAAGAACTGGCAATTTACCCTACAAAAAACAAAAAAAAAAAACCAAACAACTTTCAAATCTCGTTAAGACACTACTACATCAGTAGAATAAATTCTACAGAAACACGAATACATTAACAGAAATTAGGAAAAAAGAGAGGCTTTTATCCCTTGGGGATTTTGCTGTCTCTGTTTTCTTTGAACGTTTCATGTGGCTTGGTACAGAAACATCTGAATGAACTTCTGCTCTACAGAGTGGGACCTTTAGACTGTAGGATTACTTCTTCCACAACAGGTACCCATCAAATCAGAACCAATTAAAAGACCAAAGGAATATTTATGCTCTGCTGTACAAAGCAAACATCTGATGATACTAGGAACGAGTGGTTTCCAACAGCTTCTTGAAATAATTAGCCAACAGCTGCTAAAGTAAAAATAATATATTGTTTAAGAGCGAACACTAGACAGTCATGAAAGCAACAGCCAAAGTGTATCTAACATGCATATATATAGTTAAAAGCATTTTATATTCTCCTAAGACACCAGCTAATGTTTCACTTCCTTTTTTTTTTTTTCAATGGAGTATCTCTTCTAAATAATTACATTGCTTCCTACATACACTGATGTCTTCTGAAGATGTCAGGATTCAAAGATTTTATGGGATTTTTCTGTTATGACAGTAAGGGATAGCATTCTACTTACCTTTCAACTATCATGTTATTGAAGACATTCCCACTAAGACACAAAATATTCTTAAAATCCACCATCAATGAAGATCACTGCAATTTACAGCAATTAAAAAAAAGGGAGGGAAGGCTGCATCCACACACCCTTGCCAATGAAATGGATCAAGGGAACTGAGTGTGGTTTCTCCAAGACATGTTGTATCTGCACAGGAACTGAACTGCCTGGATAGCAGATGATTCAAACTGGACCCATAACCCCCTACCCCCCCGCCAAAAACATCTGGGAAGTTCTTAAGGACTCCTATTCACCAAGTAATTAAGAAGGGTGTTCTGAAACAGATCATCCTTCAAATAAATACTTTGTCTTTATTTATCACCTGCCTGCAAAATACACATTGAGCTCCATTTCTTCTTTGCTTCATATTTTTAAAAACCAGTTTTTACCCTTTCAGCGATGTTACAAGTTTTTTAATCCTTTTATGTTTAACCTGTTGTCCCAATGATCCTGACTCTCTCCAGGTATTTAATCATGTCACTAGACTATTTCTATTAGCATCAATGGATCTGGACATGTATAAATTCAGGTTTTGACATAAGGATTGGGAGGGTTAGGAGGTTAAAGAACCCCAAATCAAAACAGAAGTCGTCTCAAGAGATGTATCGTTTGCTTGGCAAACTTAACTCTCACATAGCTTTCCTCCAAGCTTGCCCCACTTCAAAATTCTTTCCTTTGCTCAACAAACTCAGCCCCAAAAGGAAAAATGCATTAGTGTAAAGTTTCAGAACAGGTCAGTGATTCTAGATACAGTCGAAGCCCCACCTAGAAAGTAACTTAAATGAGTTTCCAAGGAGTGGGTAACACAGTCACTTTATTAAAAATCAGGGTACCTTCAAGGTATTCTTGAGCTCTGTACCTAAAATGGAGGTACAAATTGGGTTAATACCCCTTCTTTGTAATTCATTCCTTCCAGAAAACTTGTAAAGGTGCCTTTTTCATCCCATACCTGTTCCAAAGCACACAGATTTATGCACCTATACTTGATGGGATCCAAAAGGTATGCGCTGTGTTCACACGTAGCAAAGAAAAAAGGTAATAATTTAGTATGCCCTGATTATTTGTACATATCCCGGAGTTAGTGATAATTCTGCTTCAGAAGCTAATAAGAGCTGAATCATTATTAAATTTTGGCAAAAAGGGAAAATATTATGTGTTAAATTGGAAATCAAGAGCTTGCTCTTTAGGGGTCTTTTGTCATCAGCAGTTTGAAAGCCTGTATCGGTAAGTCACTCTTATGGACAAAAATCCACTCATATAAAGTAAGCCCAATGCCCGTCACTTTGTCTTATTCACCTACAGTGCTATTTCAAATGTCCTAGGAGATACACAATGTCTGTAAAGTAGAAAGTAAAAAATAAAAGGCATCAGTCAGCACTATATGCCGCTGCATATACAGAAGTTATGGGTTTGATATTTAACAAGTCTGGTCTGGTGTATCCTTTATCCAACTTTGTTACAATCCCACCAGCAAAATTTTACTCAGATGAACAGATTGTTTCAATAAAACACATTGCCAAATCCCAGACAGGATAAGATGCTCAATGGAAACTTATCTTTCAGTCTCCAGACAGCAAGAAAATAATTAACCAACTGTTTGTTAAACCAAATCAGTTGGAAGAGCAACAGAATAGGCAATACAGCAAGGAGAAAAACATTTCCAATGACATTTCAGAGGAAAGTTTTCACAACCAGCAATGCCCTACTATTAAATAATAATTATCTGTGGTTCCTGTCAGTGCCACAGCCACAGACAAACCCAACCAAGGCTGTAGCTTAATTCTAGGAAGGATTCAACGGCGATACCCAGTCTCCCCATCGTGTTTCCAGCGCGGCAGACAAGCAGCAACATCCCAAGGCAACGCTGCTGCGCAGTTCAGAATCTCAAGACCCCAGCCCTGACTCCAAGGGACCTTTCCAGTACAGCCGGGAAGAGGCTGTGCTGGGAAGCACCCAGTATAAGCAACACAAACAGCCCCATATGGGTATTGATTGGATAGAAGGAGCACCCTGGCCTGTCCTTCTCTCACCAGATGCTATTAAGCTTACGTAGCACATGTTTTCAAGATGTCGTCAAGAAGCGCATCTCTGTTTGGCGTTGCTTTTCCTTGTTTAAAAAGAAAACCAAACCAACACCACCACATAAGTGGCTTTTGTTTGTATCCCAGTGCACTGAAAATGGATACTTTACAGAGAAAGGGGACATTTATCAGCAAATGAAACATAGACAAGCGAAAGAAAATAGAATTATTTTTTTTCATTAATAGAAAAAAAGACTGGCCGTGTACACAGTTAAAGATTTATACAATGTTCCTGAGTTATAAAAACAGTCACAAAGCCAAAATCGCATTTGGCAGCAGAAAGAAAATACATGAACAACCTCTGACTAATACAATTATTTTTGATTGTGCTGAGTTTTCAAGCCTGTGCCTATACTAGCTAGGCTTTAGTTCAAAGTCTAACGCTGTATGGATTGGCTGTGGGTCATCCGTGTGATCCAACGTGCCTTCTGGAAAGAGTCTGGCTAACCTTTCCTTTGCTAGGAACAAAAATCAATTGCAAAAATCGCCTTGTTCTGCACATATTATGAAACATAGCTTTGGAAAACGTGTTCTCTGTTCCTTATGATTGCACAGTGTGGTGCAGAGCACAGTAACAGCACTGCGTGTAAATACTCTCATTGGTGGCTCTACAAGTAAATGCCATGAAGAATTGGTCATGACAAATATATGCATTGTAGTGGCTTTAAATGTGGGGTTTTCTCTCTAAAAAAGCTTAAAAGTAACACTGCCACATTCAGAACTAAACTTTCCATTATCAAAAAAAATCCAAGTATTTATTGAAATTGTAGAGGTGGTTTTGAAGTGAAAGCAGTATAAAACCGATCCAAATCCCTGGGTATCAAGCAATCGAGAGGGAAGTATGACCTGCAGTCCACAAAAGGAGTGCTGGAAACGCAGGGCAAGCACTTTCAGCAGCGCTGTAACCAGAATCCTACCACAACACCCTGCCTGTGCCCTCACACCCTTCCACTGGCAAGCTCTTGCCTAGGACGGCAAGGCAGTCCTTGTAAACTAAGTTTAAGTGCTTGAGTCTAGGGCCCTTAATAACTATACTTAATAAACGGGCACTCTTCAATTTTTACATAACATCTGACGGTCGTCAGGATGACATAATTACTGTTACAACTCATGATTCTCATCGGTTAACTATAGATTTGCCATAACAGCTAATTAAAATCCCAGGCAAAGGAGCATGCCTTGCAGCACAATGAACAGGGAGCCAGAAACACCCAGCACCTAAACCCAGCTTTCCCAGTGACTCACTGCATGACCTTGGGCAACACATAACATAAAGTCCTTTCTTTCCCTCCATTTTTCATTTGATGAAGCTTCAGGGCTCTGCTGGGATCCGTGTTTACTCAATAAAACAAATCTGCAAGCAGGCATTCTGCAAGTACACAGAAATAGGACTAAACATGCAAAACCATAAGTGGCACATGACTCACTGTTTACACCCAGCCAGAGAAGGAGCCATTAATTAGTGTTAATATTTTAAGCCTTCCTCATCCCAAAGGGCTTCAGACATTTTTATATACAGATTTGACTCAAACCCTGGATAAACATAACTCCCACGAAATGGAGAGCTGCACACCACCACAAGAAATGGCTTCATCCAACAATAAGATGCAGCTATCATGGCATGAGAGATTAGGACAAGTGTAGAACAGCATCAACAGCCAGGAGCCAGATGTTCACCTGATGTACGTCAGCAATGTAGCTCGAGTCAGGTAAAATAAGTGGAGCCTTGACAAATGAGCTCTGAAACTAAAAGAAGAGGCAGCACGTAACCACCACGGCGCATGGCTGGTGCTACAGAGAATTTAAAACCAAGAGACAGATGGCCATAACCAGTAGGTGTTTCGGTTGGAAATTTTTCATCCATTAAATAAGTGAATCTGCCTCTGTGTTGGCACAGAAAGCAAGTAAATCCCTTCTCTGCTCTGTAATCCCCTTCGCTTGTGGAAGGAAGATCACGAATTTGCAGGAAGCAGTTTGTAGTTCAATAAACTGCTGAAGAGGAGACAAATGTTCTGAGTTCAATTTGTGTTAAACAGTGACAGATTTCCTTCATGTTTTTTATTTTTAGGTGGAAAAGAAACAGATGCTTTTATGGTACACTAATTCAGCTGTAACTAACTGGCAAAATATGTAACTTCTCTGGGAATTGCATTTCTGTTCTCATTAATGAAAGTATCTTTCAGAATACGTTACGGTAAAATAAAAACACAGGCCATGAGCATGTAAAAATGTAGAGTATCATCTATAAATCTAGAAACTGCTTGACAAAATGCCAAAGAAAATGAAAAACCTAAGCTGAATGCATGACATGCCTCCAAAAGTATTTCATCTATAGTTAGAAAAAGAAAACTGAGTCTCCTTATCTAAATATGGAGCATGGGAAGCTTGCAGAAAAAAGGAAAAAAGAATGAAGTGTTGTTTTGCTATGTTACCAGGATTTCAATTACCTGGCAAGATAATGCTGTTCTCCCTTAATATAAAATAAAATACAATACAATACAATACCCTGGTGCTGGCAGACCCACCCCAGACACGTGTGAACATTTTGCTGCGTGGGGAGCTGGACCAGCGCATCGTCTCTGCAGTGAGGGCTATGAGGAGCTGAAGATGGCAGGAAACTACTGCAATCTAAAACCGATGAGCAAACAGGAGTTAACAACTAAGCTTTTTACACGCTATTTCATTTCTATGGGTCCTGAAGACTTCTGGAAGCAGTATGTGGACTTCCTCCAGCTCTTGAGAGGAGGCAACGTAATACCCAGTGACAGATTTCAAGGCAAAATAGCATTTTAGAAAAGTCACTTACATCTGGTATGCAAGTAGTTTGTTTTTTCAAAATGTGGGCTATTAAAATATTGATACATAAACAGGAAAGTTTGCTTTCCTGCTTCCTCCAGTTTGTACACACAGGGGAAAAAAAGCAAATCCCCTCTGACCACAAAGATACAGACGCTGCATTGCCTCACGAAACCACCAAAGGAATGAGGGTAGAAGGTCTTGTTGATTTAAAAGTGTCGAACTAAACGGTTATTAGTAAGATGTAGGAAAAACCTCAACCAAAAGGGCTGAAATACTACCGCAAATTAGACATTGGTCACAAAGCCAAAAAGAACCATGCAGATGCCAAGTCCTGCCTGGGATGCAGAAGGCAGTAACTGGTCACATCGAGGAACAGAAATCTTCGGACCCTGGCATGTCTTTCATGACATAGGTGTTATTTCAGTGGGGGTGGCAAGTGTCTCATGGCTGGTTTTAAAGTGTGTGGGAAGAAGATACACCTCAAAACAAAAGCTATTCACCGTGCTTCCTCCTTCTGTACTCACTGCCAAACCATAGGCACCTGCCACAGATATCATTTCTGCAGGCAGGGTCCAATTTCCAGGAGTGAAAAGGTTGTCCAGGAAAAAGCCATTTCCACTTTCCCCTACTTTTGGCTTCCAGCTTCAATTCGGGTGTGGGCACAGGGCTATTTTATAATTCTGCCCTCCATTAACCCTGACATTGTCCATTAAACCATCCTACAATTTTCTTTTCTCCTCCTGGTGTTTACAATTTTCAGCAGCTGTATCACAAATTCTCATTTAACAAGGTTGTTACCTGCCTTGAGATGCATTTCATAACCAAGCTCTGCCAGCTCAAAAGCACCTGCTGGCTTTGGAGTTTCGGGCAATATTTTTGATGGGTTTCACGCTCACTGCAGTATCACGCGTGCCACACAGGATGGATTATTTCACCAGTCTCTGCCTACGCTGCCAAAGTCCAAATTTTTCTAGGGAAGTTTTAGACAATTTTGCCACATTCATATCCAAATTGTCCGCAACTGCACTGTTTCTTTCTAGCATTGCTGTCTCCTCAAAGCTGTTTGCATTTGGAAGGATAATTACATTGCATTTACGTTTACCACACTCGCCTCCAATCTTACTTCCTACTTTCAACACTTCAGCAAACTGCTCTGTGTCACCATGGACACAAGAAATACCGTTGCTCTCTTATAGACTGTAAAAATAAGCCTATTTTAAGATTAGAAGAACAACTCCGAGATTTCTGTTGTTCCTCACGTTCCTGCAATATGTTTTTCCACGGAGAAGAATTTAATCAGGGAAACAGTTCATCCTTACTGGTGCCCAGATTTTACAAAAAAAATTCCTGTTGCACACAGCAAAGTCAAATTAGTTCCAGTAATGTCTTTGGCCAGATGTTCACACCTTAAAGAAAAACAGCATGCAGGCTGTTGCAAAATCTTAACAGTTTTAGGAATACCAGCTGACAGCCTAAACTCGTACTTCAAGCCCAGCTCTGTTTCTAACCACAGAGGCATTCTTCATCCTTCAGATCCTGCCTTAACAAGCCACACAAAAATAGAACAAAAAAAACCTTCTGCATCTTTGATGTCATCTTCAAATAATTTATTCAAAAGGAAGGACTTCAACTCTTCAGAAAAATTCTTAGGGATGGTTTTCATGCCATGTCCAGATTTTTAAAGGGTTATTTGTACCATCACATTGACTTCTTTAGTCATCAAATACATTTCAACTTCAATGAATTATTACCTCTGTGATTTTAAAAAGCCTTTTATGAATCTGAGTAATTGCAAGGCATTTCAGTACAAAAAGGAAAGCTCAAACACTGAACTTGAATGGATATATAAAAATGTCCCATGAAAGTTCAGTCTGGAAATCAGCTTCTCAGCTGACTGCATTTCCATTTTAACTTTTCTGTGAACAGTTAAAATTTTATGCTTCTAACTCTCCAAGTGCAAAGCATCATCTGTCCAGCGAACAGAGGTGCCTCAGGCTTCACCTTGGATTGAGATTTCCCAGTACCACATCACTACAGTTAGCTGGAACACTGGTCTCCCATCCCAGAAAAACAAACAAGCGATACAAGAAGTTTTCCCCAAGTCTTCTCAAAATCATCCTGAGATACAACAGGCAGGGGCCAGGGAGGAACAACACACAAGGTACTGGGTTGTACAACTGAGAAGACACTTACCAAAGGTACGTCAGACCCAAGTGTATACCCATAGTCTACTGAATTTAGAGCGGAGACATGACATTTGATCTCCTGCTACCCAGACGGAGTTGCTAAGCTGACATTATGCGAGGAAGACAGTGGGGGCCTGCTCACCTCCTTCTGCAAGAGCTCAGCCTCCAGGCATTGAGACATTTCCCGAAGTTTCATTAAAATCAACTCTTTTTTTCATAGACAACTGAGTATTAACAAGTCAATTCCTCCCCTTTCCACCCTCAAAAAGAAAAATGTAGCAAATTTGGCTCTATATACCTCTAAGACAGAAAAAGTTCCCTGCCTTAAAGAATTTGCAAATATATATAAACGAATTAGGTTGCAATGCTGATGTGCTGTTTGCAAAACAGGGTCACAACTACATTCAAAAATTAAACTGACGGAAGAAGAAGATGACTATCATTTAATTACACAGCAGTAATTTTTAAAAAAGAAGAGGATCTGCCATGTTGCAAGTCGTAACTAGAATCGCCAATTCCAGTCCTGTTTAGCAGTGGTTTCCACTACAGGCAACTCATCTGGCTGCATTCTCTTTTTTCCAAGCGGCTTCCAGTCTTCCAGGTTCTCCCTTCCCACAAGCAGCTTACCAGGGAAATTTTGGAGCCATTCCTTTAGGGTATCAAATAACATAAAACTCTATGTCTGCTCTCTTCTTAGGTCCTCAAAACAATCTGTCACGTCAGTTCAACGTCTCCTCTCTTTGACTCACCAGCTTCTCTCTTCTCAGAAGCTCACCTTCTTATTGCTTGAAGTCCTCTCTTTCTCACCATTTTCTGGTCTACTTTCCCCACCATGTTGTGCTTCCAATTTTAAATCACTTTTCCAGCTGCCCTTCACTCCCTGCCATATCCTACTCAGCCTATTGCTGCCAGTTCTCATCCTGGGGATCCTTCCCTTTGCTTTGTTACTGCAGATCTGCTTTTGCTTATTTTAATATAAAAATGAGAAAATGAGCAATTGGTAAATGTGTAAATAGGTTACCTCAGGAAAACAGAATTTAAAACAACACGGCAAAAAACATTCTTGATATCGTTAAGGTTTTCTGCCATGTTGCTGTTAAGAAGCTTTTAAATAAGAAAAAAAGAAAGAGCTTTTAAATGACAAAGGTGGCAAGGGAGCAGCAGGAGCACGTCATATCTTGGGTCATCCAAAAGTTCTGCATTAGACGTCTGATTTAGTCATGAACTCTGGCACACACACTTTTGACCTCGCTGGGGAATAGGTCTGAACTAAAACAACACTGCAAGATCTACACATTTTTGAGCCATGTGTTTCAAATGAAACGTTCTTGCCCATTAAATTTGGAGGTCATTAAATAATAGTCCAAACAAGGGAAACCAATGTGAGCAGCACCCCAAGCAATCACATGCACCCAACCGCATCTACATTACACAGTATTTCGATGCAATGTTCCACTTGCGCTACGTTGTCGACACGTGCAGAACTGCATGACAGCTTTCCTGCTGTTGCAGGAGGCAGAATAATGCTGAGAGCTCTATGGCTCATATGGAGGAAGACTACAGATAGGAAGTTGCATTCCTGTTTGTTCAGAAACAACTTGCAGTGCAAGAGTATCTTTCCAAGCTGGCTTTAATTTGCATGTTCAAGATGCTTCCCAAGATATCTTCCATTGTAGTATCTACATCAGTGCGGTACACAGCCCTTCAGAGGGACAAATGCATCCTCTAAAAGCAATTTGTGACTTCAGTATAGGCACACAAGAAAGACTAACACATTCCTCTACCAACCACAAGGGACCATGCCCATTGCTTCTCAGGGGGTGAGTTATATTAGCCAATGTGTGTGTAAACCAGCCAACAAACTATGTTGTTGTTGTTTATTTTGAAGATGCATACAAAAGTGCTACGTACTTGCTTGCACTACACTGAGAGGTGATAAAAGTAACCACTACCAACCACAAACTTGGCTTTTAAAAATGTGTATCCACCTAGCTCAAATATTCTCTATAACTCAAACCACTAAACTACTAGTCTTTCCTTCAAAGATGAAAATTAACAGCAGCTTTTGGAAAGGAGGATACTAGATTAAAAGTAATAAAATGTGTCTTGCTTTAACGACTCACCTGAGCATCTATTTTAATTAGTGCAATGTCAGCTTTTTCATCAACATCTTTAATTTTAGCTTCATATGTTTCACCGTTCTTCAGCTCCACTTTCACCCGGTTTTTGTTGGTGACAACGTGGGCATTTGTCACTATCAGTCCATCTTCTGAGACAATGAACCCTGAACCACTGGCAACAGGAATCTCCCTCTTTGAATAAGGAAGTCTAAAAGACACGGGAAATAAACATTTAGCTCTGCAAAATGTTGAAAGATCACAAATCACTGCAAATAACGCACAGTCAAAAGAAGTTTGGTGGGTTTTAACTCTTTAGGATATCTGCTGTTACTTACTATCATTAAGAAGATAACGCACATGCATTAGTTTGTTTTGTTTGGTTTTTTTTGCCAGGACTCTTAAATTATCTTTAATTCTTCAGCATGACAAATATTTATCATCTTAAAAACCTCTTTGCTATTACATAACATCAATCAACATTTCTGGCACACTGGCAGCTGTTTTCAAGAATACAAAAATCAAAACTGGGCATCTTGTTTACTTGCGAAATAATTCAATGTGAACCACAGCAGGAGCTATCTTCTCCACCACATCTGCAATAAAGTTGTATTTGTGCCGCAGGCTATTAGGATGTTCTTGGCCTGAAATAGAAACAGAAAACATGTCATGAGTTCTTCCAGTGACAGGAGAAGGGTCATTGCAAAACACCTGAATTAAAAAAAGCTCCAGGCGGCTATCTTTCCCCTCCTTAAAAGACATCTGCAGCATAACCCTTGCCTCCAGATTTCCCTTCTGGCTCTTTGCACAGAAGAGGCAGCATGCTTTAGCATTAGGACAACCGGATCCACAAAACCTTCTTGTTTCAAGGGCACTTACTGGGCCACGGGGCAGCAGATCGGCTGCTCCAAGCGCGGCTGTAGGCGCAGAACCCCGTCCAGGCTCCAGCAGCACATCCCACCGCCGGCAGCTCCCGGGAATGAGGCACTGGAGGAGCGCAGGGTTTAATCCACGTCTGCACTGCCCGGCTCTTCCTTTGTGAAAGGGATTTTGTACCCAGATGACTCCATTTCTGCTCTCACCTCTCTCCTGGATGGTCTATTTAGCTTGTATGGCCTTCTCAGATTAAACAACGGGGCTCTGTTCCTCTGCCAAAATGTGCCGCCTTCGTGGTTTTTGAAGTCTCATGCCGCTGCATTTGTAAAATGCCGAGGACGACAAGGTCCTAACCCCAGCGTAAGCCTACAGCAGCTGCTGTGAAAGTTCAACTTGGGCACGAGGTTTGCGTTGCCTCTCCCACCAGTATCCCCACACGGCTTGAACCACCAGCCTCTGCCTGGCACCTAAACGTGGATGCACATTACATAGGCTCTACACAACCACACTCAAGGCATCCCTTCCACGGATACTACCTGTGGTCCATTAACTCCATAGAGCCATGGATCCCATGTACTTTGGAGTTAGTGAACCACTGCCAAGGCTATAAAAGAGATACGCACACAAAAACAATGGGACCACAAAGCTCCGCATTCCTGGGCAGTGCTGTAACACAAAAGCTCATGGTCACTGAGTATTCAAGAGAGGTCACTGGGATTTTCAAAAGCGACTGGACACCAAACTCCCATTGTGGCCAACAGAAAACCTGTCTGCACCATCAGATGTCTAAAAATTTCTGGAAAAAACTCACAATTCTGACACTGCTTCCCCTTCTCAAGTAGTTCAGGGGCAAAACATTTTTATTTTTTTTTTAATATCAGGAGCAACTAAGCAATTGGAACACCCCAAAGAGTTATTTTGTATTTCCCTAGAGGCAAGAAATACCCTCTGTTTTCATTAGTCTTCTAATTTTATCTGATGCATCCATCTCCCGTTATAAAGGCACAAGCCAAATCCGTAATTGACTTTCAGATGAGTATTAATGTGCTGTGCTGCTCCCATCCATCCTTGCCATTTGGCTTCTAAATCCGTCCAGAGATTAAAGCAGTAAGCAGCTTGTGGATGCTGTAAGTGCCTTTGATGGTGTAACAGGACGATTTATTTGCAGAATTGTAGAAGGAGACACAGGACTATCCTACAAAATCATCCCAATACCCATACCTGAATGACCTTCATTATCTAAAAACTAAACTGGAAAACTGCAAATTTTTAAGTACATACTGGAGGCAAAAACCCACAGCAGGAGATTCAGAGGAATGATCTGGGAAGAAAACATTGCTGCTTTTAATACTAACCAGATACTGGTTTGATTCAGAGGTGAACAATGGGTTTCAAGTGACTTACCAAGGCCAACTAGCATACCTAGCACACGCTGCCCTCATGAGAGGGGTGGATGCTCAACCCGAACACTGCCTGATCACTCCAGAACGTGTTTTTTTTCCCATTTATACCCTGTGAAGCATCTCAAGGGCTTTTAAATGCAATCAGTCATGAACAGCAGCCACGGTAGTAACTACATAATCCGCTATGCAGTTTTGGATCACAGTTCAGAGACGTTAATCTGCTTTACAAAGCAGGAACGTTGATCAGGAAACTTGTGTCCTCACCTACTGTTTTCCTCAAAAGTATTCTCTGATTTTTGCATAATCTCTTGTCCTTGGACTTTTATGCCAGAAAGGCATTAAAAGCTTGCTAATTGACAAACATCAATTTACCAAAGGATTTATGTTCCCTTCATGGGAAATATTCGGTATCAAATGAACTATGCCATCGCTATAAAGCTGACAACTGTAACGGGAGTGTTTTGGAAAACTGGTAGGTGAATGAGAACTGCAGTTTGGAAGAATTCACTTGCATTAAACAGGAGCTTTAACAGATTATCAGATCAGATTAATGCGATGTTGGGATAAAACGCCACAGGGCACTACTGTATCCATCAATATACTTTTTGATCACTGTTTATAAAATGATTTCATCTCAGCGATAATGCTCTAGACATTCAAAGGTCACATCCTGCCCTTGAAAAAGAGAGCTCTCACGGGTGAGGGAACTGCACAGTTTTTTTAATGCCTTCAATCTTTTTTTTGCATTGAGCTATTCAAGAAGAGAAAGGATGTCTAAGCTGTACATGGCGAGACTACTAATACTTCGTCTCAGAGAGCTGCCTTCACTTTGAGTCGGAGGCTACAAACACCAAGATTTCAGAAGTGGCAGTATTTTGCGTATAATCCACCTCCTTGCACAGTCCCAAACTCAGCTGCACAGTTAAAAGGTCAAAATTTCATACTCTGAAAAAGTTAGATAATAAATACTGATTCATGGCATACTGACCTAAAAAGCTTACAACTCGCCACGCCTGCCTACTGCTTATGTATTAGGAATTCTTGCATTGTGTAACACAGTTTTGCAACAGCTCTTGAACAACTGCCCATTTAAATGGAAAACATACCTTTTTTAAAGCAAACAAACAAAAGCCAAAGTACTATTCAGATGAACTAATTGATGAATGCTAACAAAAAAAATTCCTATCAACTGGTCTTTACCATCACGTGAACGACAAAAAAAAAATCTGAAGGCTACTGTAAAACTATTAATATGTTGAAAATTTCTTCTATCACTGAGAAAAAGTATCATGGGGGTAGAAAACTGAGACCAAAATGGGCATGTGTGCATGCGTACCATTTGCCCGTTACGTACATACTTAACGGTCACCATAGCAAAAAAAGGGGTTACGGAGCAATGCACACGGGAGCTGAGAGGTGCACTTACCTTTCCTAAAAGCAACTACCAGCATGTAAAATTTTATCTTAGATTTGAACCACCAGCAGGCACAGGCTACTACGTAGAAGCCTAAATTGCCATAAAAATGTCAATAATACAAACCTAATATGAGCAGATGCTCATTCCTCAACCACCATACCATAGTTTCCAGACACCACCAGTCACTGTAGAAGACAGTGGTGAAATTCAGAACTTCTCAGGAGATACTTTCCTCTTCTCTCTAACACACGTTATTTTCCAGCTGCACTGATAGTTCAGGGTCTTAGTAGAAAACAGTTTTAAAAGTGGAATGTGTATCATGCAACATCCTCCAAGTTTTCAGGTTTAAAGAGCTGGAGACTCCGCAGTGGTTCAGTGGACTGTGCTTGACTATTAAGCAAGAAAAGAGTAACAGCTTTAAGTTTTGATTGATGATATGGGTTTGATTATTTAATCCCCACTGCCTGTGTATTCACATACTTATATCTAACCATAATGTCCATCCTAACAGGTACCCCACAAGCAGGTGGTCAGCTCTTTAATTCCATGCTTAAATTGGTCGCCAAAATCTAGTTTTCTCAGTTAAAAACTGCTTCTTTGCTACAACCAGTGTTGAATTCATGAGAATAAACTTCCTCCAATTTTCTGGTCTTTTTTCTTTAAACCACATCTTTCTGTAGTTTTGTCCTTAGTAGAGTTGTCTTTTTTTTTTTTTTTGGTTTTTGTTTGGGGTTGGAGTTTTTGTTGTTGTTTTTTTGTTGTTTGTTCTGTGTTTTGGGATTGTTTTTTTTTAAATCATTGAGAGGTGGGCTTGCATAAAGCCCTAGTTCCTAAATACCTTCAAGCTTTGATGTTCAGATCTTTGCAGACTGTTCCTCTTTCTATTTGTATGCCGTGATTATTGTGTTTTGTAATGTTCTTATTGAACTATTTCACAATGCCCTAAATGCCCACCAGCATGGTTAAGAAACCTTTATTAATGACACTATAAAGATGATTGTTGTGAATTCAGTTAAGGATCAAAAACTGACTCAAAAAAACCCATAAATAGATTACAGCATGAAAAATTCCCAGGGCAACTAATTCTTCAAGGACTTCAAAGGTGTGCGGGCTGTCAGCCCTCAAATGAAAAGGAAAACCTCTGCCAACTGACATTAATAGGGCTAATATTAATAAACAAACTGCTAGGAGCCAAGACAGAATATACCAAGCCATGGAAAAAAGCACACCCGGCTGTAAACAACTGAAATAATTTCATTTCACAAAGATGAGCTAAAAAGCGTATTAAGATCTAGGTTCTGATTAGGTCATTACTCAAAGCGGCATTGACGCTTTAATGCTTACAACTCATACACGCTGCTTTTGGTAATATTTTGAGCTAAACTGAAAAGATGCTTTGGAGATAGAAATCTCATAAAAGTAACCTCTCCCCTTCAGTTGTGTATCTGCTGTTGTGGAAGGTCTTCTTCTCAGCATAGGTCCACCTCTCATGAGAACGGATCTTCACACAAAGCTTTTGGCACATCTCAGTCAGAAACGTATTTTTTTTCCCCATCCAGTCTTCATGTGTTTTCCCCCTTTCAGACAAGGGGGTTCTGCTCTCATCCATCGGGACCAGCTCAGCTCACTGCCCGATCTTCTCTGCTTCCCAGTGGCATCCAATGCATCCAGCCTGTGCTAAGGCAACCCCAACACTCCCATGTCTGCCTTCCACTCTCTGAAGTCAGAACCAACACAATTATCTCATTCAATGGGACTTCTTATCTTAGATTCAAGGAGAGGGAAAAAAAAAGGCACACCCCAGCAAACACCAGCAAGTCTCTCCCACCCTCACTTGGTGTGATCACACCAGGTATCTTCACGTCTTAAGTCAAAAAGTCAGTTTGGAATTGAGCCTTCGATTTCTTTAAAAACAGCAAGAAACTTTCATTCCCATTAAGATTTAAAA